ATACGTGTAGTCCTGGACTGATGTTAATGCATAATGCATACTGTTCTCCAAAGACAATCATCCATAACACTAAAAAGAGCATGTGACCTTGACAAGCAATCAGACACAGCCTGTAATCTATAACACATAAGCTTGTTTGAGTGCATGTGTGCTTTTGTGTGCCTACAGTGTCTCATAACCTTTACCTCAGCATTCATAGCCCCTAAGAATGTGTGTGTGTGTGTGTGTGTGTGTGTGTACACTCATCACAGAAGCTTTTCCTCTTAGGGAAACGAGAAAGCAGGTGGGCGGCTGGAACGAAGAAATGAAGAGAAGAACAGAGCTGCATCTTTTATCCCTCATCCCTCTGCCCAACATAGGCATGAGTGGGTGGTGTGGAGGCACCACAGCCAGTTTACACCCCCCCTTTCTCTCACTTACACACACACACACACACACACACACACACACACGCTACAAGAAACTCTGATTATCTTCTGATTATACAGACTACCAATTTCTACACTCCTACATTATTGCTCATATAAGTTTGTGCAAATGCAAAAGTGTCCATTCAAATACCAGCTACACAAAACAAATGTCTAATAAAGATGATTTATTCCAGTGCTTTTGTTAAGAACTGTGTAGTAATGAGTCATTAAAATGTACTTTTTCACCCCTTCTACTGAGTGGATTTGGCTATTTGAGGTGCACCCTTTGCTGACACAGGTGTTACATTGTGCACTCAGTTGTGTAATCTCTGTAGAAAAAAAAACACAGCAGTAGAAAGCGGAGCTCTGGAGAGCTTGTGAACTTCAAAATGGCGCCATCATAGGATGCCACCTTTCCAACAACTCAATATATCAGATTTCCGCACTGCTACAGCTGCCCGGGTCAACTGTAAGTGACGTTATTGTAAAGTGGAAATGTGTAGGAGCGACAACAGCTGGCCACACAAACCCACAGGAGGAGACCACAGAGTGCTGGAAAGCTTAGTGTGTAAAATTCTTCTGGCTTTACTTCAACTTCCAGAGGAGCTAAACAACGTGGGTTTTCATGGTTGAACAGCCACAGACAAGCCAAGATCACGTGTGCAGGCTCAAGCACTGGCCATTAGACTACTGAGCAGTGGAAATGTGTGAAACATTTTAGAACACAGAAATAAGGGCATTTCAGAAGTTTGTATCAGGGCCTAACACTAAAACAGAGATTTTAAAGCTCTCCCTGTTATTCACGTACCTGGTATAAAATGAAAATGGTGCAAGTACGTTGTCATAAAGCAGTTCTCCCAAAAAACTGGATGTGGATTTATATCCCTAGTGTACAAGCCAGAGGTGACAGTGTTAAGGAAAAACTCCCTGAAACCACATGAGGAGGAAACGTTGTAAGGAACCACACTAAAAAGGGAACTCATTCTTTTCTGGGTGACACCAGGTAGTGGGATTACAAATCATAAATCATTATATAATTTCAGTTGTTCACCAAAGCAGAAAAAGATCCGCTGTATCTCCCTGCTTATGTCTCTTTACTATCATAATCATGGAAATCCCTGTAAGAGTAAAGCTATACTCTGTTGGTATATTATTATGGACTAATTCCCTCAAGATGCCTAAATAGATGAAAATTGTTATTGCACCATTACATGATTGCTTTTACATAAATTTGTAATTAAATCCATTGTAGTAATTCAAGAAGTTGCTTTGTACATGATTGCTTTTACATAAATTGGTAATTAAATCCATTGTAGTAATTCAAGAAGTTGCTTTGTCTATGAATTGAAAAGCAGAAACTTTTGGCCTTGAGCTTGAGAACAAATGTGGCCTGTTGACCCTTTGTTGCTCTAAAATCACAGAGTATAACTTCAATTCGTTCTGAAGGCACTTTCATTTCAATTTGTGAGAAGTGGCGATGATGAGAGTGAACATTCAATCATCACTCTTCCACACTCCAGTGAACTGTGCTCAGGTGCAAGCCTACATACTGTCACTCAAATCAAAATGGTTTCCTGCTGGAAAAGGTCCATGATGCCAGTTTCCATTACCAAGATGCCAAGTGAGTTGTTTCCAGATGTCATTGTAAAACCTCCAGCAACAATAGTCAATAACAGCCACCAGCTCATTTGTTCCCTTGAGCCTCCCAGAGTACTTTAGTGATGTGTTACGTTTTGAAGCTCTTCTATTTGCTGAACTGGTGTCACTTGAATTTAATTCTTATAATATATCATGCTACTGAATGTCTTGTGGAGTGGAGCTACTTAAATGACACTGTGGGTCTGTTTTGTCCTCTGTGTCTGGATACTCATTCTTCACGTAATTGTTTGGCATCCTCTGCTGTGGGGTGGTGGGAAGTGCAGCTGCTGTTTCACTACAGCTCTCACTAGTGGACACCTACAGTCTTAAAGAACCTTTATTGTGATCCAGTATTAATATTGCAGCAATAGTTGCTCTTGAATGTTGGCAGTGCTTGCAGTAAAACTTTAATGTGTTTTCCCATGTGCTGTTATTTAAACTGCAGTTAGTCTTTATTTCACTTAAACTCCACATAACCCATAACATTAAATCAGAACTATTGGATGTTCTCCCTGTGTATGTGTCTGAGTATATGTGATTACCTGAGGTTCTGAATCAGAGCCTCACTGTATAATAGGTGAAGGTTCTAAGAAAAAAGAAACAGAAAGTTATGAGTTTGACCAACTGTAACTTACGATTCTACATCAAAATTAATAAAGAGCAATGAAAGGAATACTTCAATCTGTAAAAGCAAAACATAACAAAGGCACTTTTTGCTGTAAAATGGTTTTTACATATAAATAAATATATAAAGGGAAAAGGAACAACCAGCCACCCACTGAATATAATTTTCCAGACTCAGTGCATAAACAGGACATGGACACTGTCCTAAAATAAAACTGTTTTGGGAAGGATGGCAAAGACCAAATCAACCACATTTTAGGTCTTTGTTTAAAAGCATGGTGGCATATCATACTTTTAATATTTATGAAAAAAATGTGGAACTAATATTATTCTCTCTGCAGTGCTAATTCCATTCACTATTCACTGAGATAGAATTTCCATTCATTCATTCATGTTCAGTAACAGCTTTATCTTGGTCAGGGTCATGGATGAGCCAGAGTCTATCCCAGGAATACTGGGTACCCGGTGAAAATACGCTCTGAATTGGCTACCAGTCCATCACAGGGCACCATTCACACACACTCACCCATGCACATTAATGAAAAGAGGTTCTCCCCTTTCCCCTCAGCCAACCCCATCCACTCTGCTAGGTAGTCTTATAGTAGTCCTATACGACGTGTCATGTACCAGCATCTTAGACTGCATTTTGATAGCTACAAAGGTCCCGGTAAAAAACAAAAGGTTAAGATGCACTCCAAGGTAGAGGTGTGTGTGGGACTGGGACTGGGAAAATTTTTTTTTTTTTTTTTTTTTTTACATCAGTCTGTACCAGAATAAAGTGGTTACTAAAGATGAATGAATAAAAGCTGACAACAAAGCTTCACTCAGAGCTGTGCGAGTGCCATAAACTCACTCATGTTAATGAACCTAGCATTTCTGTGTCCCACAAACTTCATATTTGACTGCTGGCTCCTGCTTGCATGAGGGTTAAAAACTGCTCGCTCAGATGACTTTTTATTGGGTAACACAGGATTGCAGTCCCCATGCAAGTCTATACTTTGAAGACAGCATATACATATGCCATAATTTTGCCAAGAAATGGACATAGACACTAATGACTACTAACCCTGATGGATCAATTAGGCTAGGTGGAATAATAATTATTATAATATAATGGCAAAATTTTGTGACTACACCAAGCTTTTTTTGACAAATGAAATCTTAAGACAAGACAATTATATGTAACTTTCATTTGTAAATTGCTCTCTGTCCTCCACAATGCCAGTGTATTCCAGCACCACAGGATCATATATAGATAGAAGATATGAAATATGTAGGACAGTGATGGATGCATGTACACTATATTGAACAATCAACCAGATGGAGGAATCTCAGCACATACAATTTTATGCAAACAGATTCAGGCATGACTAGATTCCTTTCTGCATGAGTAGAGAGAATTTTTCCATAGTTTGAACACATTGCAAGTATATACCCTTTGGGTTGCCCTGTATGAAAAGGTGCATGGATGAGCAGCACTACTTTATTATCAAAAGTGATAACCCATGTCAACCAGGGATGCACACTGTCCTAATAGCATAATGAGACATTTAAAAAAAAAAAGTTTATATGTGAGTTTATATATATATGAAAATATGTATTTCTCTCTCGTCTTCAATACAATTCAATTCAATTCAATTTTATTTGAATAGCACTTTTAACAATAGACATAGTCACACAGCAGCTTTACAGAACTCCAAATGTAGATTTAGATTAAGATTTAGATCCCTTATGAGCAAGCCAGAGTAGACAGTGGCGAAGAAAACCTCTCTGAGATGGCATGAAAAAGAAACTTTGAGAGGAACCTGACTCATAGGGGAACTTGTCCTCTTCTGAGTGACACCGAGTAGTGGGATTATAAATCATTACTCTTCTACAAGTGTGTACTATAAAATAAAACAGTGTGTTGAAAGAATGTTCACTATGCGCATAGTGTGAATAAGAGTCCTAGGATAACCACAGGAGAGTCATTATGATTACACACCAGTTTTAGGTACAAGTCTACTTTATCCAAGTGAGATTATTCACTAAAGCAAAGATGAAATCTGAGCATAAACTGTTTTGGGGAAGTGTAAATATTTTGGGTATCCACATGGGAACTGACCACAGCAGCCGAAAGTGTGTCACAAAGCTCTCTCTCATACACACACTCAGGTATCAATTCCTCATAAATCAATATAGAAATAAATAAAACCAATGAAATCTCCATTACATGCCCGTCTAATACATTATATCTCTATAACAACATTTACAGCATTTGGAAGACACTTTTATCAAACTTATATCTATTTCTTTTATACAACTGAGCAGTTGAGAGTTAAGGGCCTTAGTCAGTGGTGAGGTTTGAACTCATAACCTTCCAATCCGTAGTCCAACAGCTTAACCACTGAGCTACCAGGGCCACGGACATAGTATAGTATATTTAGAAACTGTGTTTTGATGAAGCGTATGACACGCATTGCTAAGCAGTGAGCAGAGGCATGTGATCTCGCCGTGGCCGCTAGGTGGCGGTATAAACTCCTGCTCTGTGAGGTGGCTGTAGTTCCAGGGCCCGCCGCTGCTGCCTCTTTATTGTTGAGAGCGGCGGCGCTCCTGCTTAATCCTGCTGCTGCCTCCGCGGGGAGCCGGCCGACATGGCGACCGCCACGACGCTCCTCTCTGCAACCAACCGCATCTGAACCGGGGTCTGCTTTTAGTGTGGGTCGGGCAGCGTTCAAGCTCAGCCCCTGGAGCCTTTCTGTAAAAAAAAACAAATAAATAAATAACCCTCCATTTCGAGCTGTTTCAGGGGTGGAAATAAGGCTACGTGGACGCTGTGCTTTTGGAAGAAGGGTAAGTTGTATCTGTAGCTTTCCTTGTCTTGAGCACAGGCGGTGTGGGAAACTTGTCGGAGATTAAGGTTAGTGGTGTGTGTAAGCAGAGGAGGTTTAGTTAGCGTGTTACGTGAGTCGAAGTGGCTGTATTTTGAGTTGAGAGGACATGTGGAGTGGTAGTCAGGGTAGCATTTTTCCTGCTCGCTTGGGCAGGAGCAGTAGGAAGCCACGTCTCCATTGAGCCCTGCAATAGGTTCCATATGAAGTCGGATATGTGGAGAGCCACAGCTCTCAGAGAGCTTCTCACTTTTCGACGCTAAAACAGAAGATCCTGATGGAAGTCCTGGCTTTGGGTTTGACAGTGGATTTGTCTGAGCATGACTGCAGGATACACTGGTGCTAAAATAAACCCAGACTGCTGCTAGTGGGTGTTAGAAGGGCTAAATGCCCAGGTACTGACTCGGTATAATAAGATCTGGTGTTTATCTCGGGTTATAGTCTGACCCACATGCTTTCCGCTATCTCCACAGATTCCTGCCAGGTTTCCCAATGCTCACTGCTGTTAATCTGATCTTTGGCCCTCTAGACCTGTCAAGCTGTCATCCTAGCCCTCTCACTTCTAAATGTTAATTACTCATTATTAGTGTATTCCATGTCACTGACACTAACTAATACCCTCCAGTGATAATGAGATCTGCATATGGCCATGTCCATCTGATAGACCTGATGTGAGTGGAGAGTTCTGTTGGCCTCCATAACCAATTGGGGATTAGTGAAAACTTGATTATTTCTGGCACGTGTAGCTCGGGTCTAAAGCAACTGTGCCACACCCAAACCTGGTTTATGGAGTGGGTGATGGGGTTCTGGTGATCAGAGTAGGAGAAGGAGAAGGAGAGGGTTTAACTCAACCTGGCTGTGTAGAGCATGAACAGAGGATCTACTGTTCTAGTGCAATCTCCAATACAAACACACGCACGCACGCACACACACACACGCATACACACACAAACATTTGTCTTACTGTCCTTCTGTTGACATACTTATTAATGCAGCTCATTAATTATATGCTTACAGCTACCCCGTATCTCAGTAACCAAAAGGAAACCTTTTGGCCCTTTTAGTCTTTTAAAATACTTTTAGGAGTTTAGTTTTTGAGGAAAAAGCAGTTTTCCTTGTGGGGACCAGCCAAATGTCCCCACAAGGTCAAAACTGTCTGATATTCATATCCTTGTGGGGGACATTTAGTCCACATCCAGGATATAAACACACACACACCCTTGCTGTCTCATGTGGAATTTTCTCTGTAAACAACTTCAAAGGCAGCTGGGACAGCAGTGGGGTCACAGCTTTTCCGGCCGTTAGAAACCACTCATGCTTTAATCGCTGGTTTTGTAGAAATAGACGTTTCCACTTGCAAATCTCTAGCAGTGATGGGAAAGTACTGTTCTAATGTATTCAAATGAGCAGACACAGAGGACTGTTGCATTTTACTATACGAATTTGTGGGTAGAAAAGACCTTAACACAAACACTCACAAAACTTGAACTCTCCAGTTTTCACACTTTTGAAGCTGGTAGGAAGTTGTTAGATTTGGGAGATGAGATAAGCGATCAATCCTAAACTAAATACTAAGGCTTTACTGATATGATACTGATCAGTATTAGGGTCACGACTGGCCTGGAAGATTTCATTGGAATTAATATATTTTCCGATTTGTGCCACTAATATATTAATATGTAGTGAATGTCGGTGACTGACAAGCAACAGATTGTGCATGTGAATAAAGAATACAAGTTGTCTTGGTGCACACCACCATTGCATAACTTGGCAACAGAGTCGCTTCAATTGCCATGAAGATGTCAGTATTTGACTAGTATTGTGTAATGGTTGATGTTCATAACTCTTATGTCTGTATTGTATTGAAAATGGAAACAGTGGAGTCCATGCGTTACTACTAAACACTGCAGGCCATATTTTGTCCAAAACTAAAAGAGAATGCTGTAGAAAATCTAATTACTGGAGATTTGATTTTGTTGTTGTGACTGTTTTTTAGGACTGCATTCAATGTCTGTTCAGTGTCCTGGATCATTGTCTTGGGCTGAAGATGTACAGTCAGGTCCAGAAGTATTTGGACAATGACAGAGTTTTTGTGATTTTGCCTTTATACACCACCACAATGGATTTGAAATAAAACAATCAAGATGTGATCGAAGTGTAGACTTTCAGCTTTATTTTAAGAGGTTCCACAAAAATATGGCATTTACCGTTTAGGAATTTCAGCCATTTTAAGCAAAGCACTTCCATTTTCAGGGGCTCAAAGGTATTTGGACAATTGACTGACAAGAAGTTAATTGACCAGGTGCAGGCCATTCCCTCGTTACTTCAAGACAAATGAAGCAGATAAAAGGTCTGGAGTTGATATCAGGTATTGAGTTGGCATTTGGCAGCTTTTCGACTGGATCTACCAATATGAAGTCCAAGGAGATCTCAATGCAAGTGAAGGAGGCCATCATTAGGCAGAAAAAACAACATAAATCTATAAGAGAGATAGCAAAAACCTTAGGTGTGGCCAAATCAACAGTTGGGTACATTCTTAAAAAGAAAGAAAGCACTGGTGAGCTCAACAACATCGAAAGACCTGGAAGACAACGGAAGACAACTAAAGTGGATGATCGCAGAATCCTTTCCTTGGTGAAGAAAAACTCCTTCACAACATCAACAGAAGTCAAGAATACTCTGGAGAAGGTAGGCGTATCATTGTCAAAATCTACAATCAAGAGACGCCTTCATGAATGTAAATACAGAGGGTTTACAACAAGGTGCAAACCACTGGTAACATTCAAGAAC